TCAAACATTTCATAAGAAAAAATGCAAATATTATCCATTGTTTGCTTTCTCAAGAATTCCTGGGAAGCAGTAACAAACTGAAACAACATGCAATCCACAGAAATTGTATAAAGTATGCAATAAATTAAACAATTCACAAGCATCCTTTTTTTAAAATGAAATCTGAGCATGAGAATTTCTTCAGAAAGGGGACTTGAAATGTATTATGATATATTGAGGACTATGAAAAAGCAGTGTAACAACAAAATACTGAAAATCACTTTCACACATCAATCTAGCTTTACTGTACCAGTAATCATATGTTAAATCAATCATAAGTCCTTGTCATTACTAATTTGTTAACACAAAAAAACAGTTAAAGTGAATCATATTTCTGTATTGGGCAACATACAGTATACCACTGCATAGCTTAACTGTAGTAAGCTTTAAATTATTTAAGGAGTTCTTTAGTTACATACAGTAATAGTGGTGTTGAAAGATATGTTAGATGATGTTAAGTATGGTGAGTTGAAGGAGATAGGGTTCTAGCAGTGAGAATCTTTCAATTAACCTTAAGGGCTGTGACATACAGTATGTCATTAGCAGTGTCAGCTTTTCTTCTTTTAGTAAAAGTTAAGAAGAATTTTAACACCATAAGAGACCTTGTGGGGAATTTCAGACTTGTAAAACAAAAGAGCCTAAGGAAACACATTAGAGGAGTTAAGAAAATACCCCTGAAATCTGTCATTATCTCCAGGGCATCCAAAAATGCTCTCTAAAGAGCATTGCATACTCCATCCAATTTCCTTGTAAGTAAAACGGAACAGCACTATCAGACCTTTCTTCCCTAACCTTTGTTTCTAAATCTGCAACAAAAACAGAAGCCGTCTTGAATGTCGTTTGTTTATTCAGTTGGTCTTTGAGTTTATGCAACAGTGAACAAAGTATTTCAAGGGTTTTCTTTTTTATTCTTTGAATGGGAGCGTTTTCGGATTTTGGCCTTCTTTCAGTTCCCAAAGAAAGGCTCAAATACTTGGAGACTGTGCTTTCTCATCTGTTGCTTCAAGGCTGTGGAATGATCTTTCAACCCATGTCAAATCTTGCAAGTCAGTCTGCGCTTTCAAATGCTGTCCTACAACTCACACTTACACTCTTGCTTTCAGTACTGCTTAAGTTACGGTTTTAAATTAATTGAAATACTTTGAGATACTATAATCTGTAAATCTTGCAATATAAAATAAAGCTTTTTGCCATTTCAAAATTCATAAAACAATTTAAAATGTAGAAACCGATCATATCTAATTTTCATTCCATTCTTGTTGCAGCAATTTTGTTTTCCTAAATATCAAATTGATGGATAGCTGTTTTAAATGATAAATTATATATATTTTTTTTTCTGTGACGGTTTTAGATTACGTTTGAGGAAATTGCAATAAATGTTAAATAATCAAATGATTAAATAAAATGAAAAAGACCATCCTTAAAATGTAGCATTTTTTTTAAATCACATTAGATTAAACTGTGGACTCTAGAAACTGTTTACAGATTCTAGAAACTGATAAAAAGATATTTGTATTTTGACATACATTTAACATAGCTATTACAATAAAAGCATGACAGACTAAATTACTGTAGTATGATTCCATCTCCTCTCATATATAAACTTCCTACATCTGACCTATTTTGTTTTTTGCATATAACAGATTTTCATCGACAATGTTCATTTAACCAGCTTCATCCAAACTGATAGAGAAGTACTATCCTCAAAGGTGTACTGAAAGTAAATACATACCAGACAGACTTTTACAAGCTGGACAACACAGCTGGAAGCCA